GGCTCCCCGCTTATGCTAATGAAGCCCGGGAAATTCAAATCCCGGGCTTCATTAGCAAGTGCGGTATGCATACATTACCCCGCTAGTTCGAACTAGCGGGGTAGTGTAGACATACCCCCATGGATTAATGGGGGAAGTATGGTGTCTGAGATGGAAGTTGGGTGCAGAAGGAAGCTTGGGGTAAGGGGATTGGGGTGCAGAAGGGAGAATGGAGTCTGGGAGGGAATTTGGGTGAAGGAAATAATTGTGACCTAGGGCAGGGAACTGGAGTGCAGGGTTTTGGGATGTGACTTAGGGTAAGAGGGGATTATGATCTCAGGCAGGAGATTGGGGTGCCAAATCTGGGAAGGAGTATGGGTACATGTGGAGTAGTGAGGCAGGAGTGGGGGGAAGAGGATTGAGGAAGGGAGGGGCGGAGGTGTCAGAGGCAGGTTCTCATCAGTAGACTTACCAGCCTGCCTACCTACCTGCAGACCTAAAGGCTTGCAGAGCTTAAAATGTTTCTGCCTGCTCGGTCATGTGTTTGAGGGAGTGATCAGGAGGGTTGTGCTTTCTGGCTGCCTGTTATTGAAACAGGCAGCTCCCATTAGCCAGTGTCTGTTCAGAAACTAGCCAATGGGATTGTGCTGGGGGCAGGAGCAGTGTCTGAATCTTAGCTCCTCCCCTCTTCCCCTCTGGACTCAAAGGGTGTGTTTAGACTACATGGCTCCATCAATGGAGCCATGTAAACTAGTTTACCCGGCATAGTCAATGAAGCGGGGATTTAAATAATCCCCGCTTCATTAAAATAAACATGGCCACTGCGCTGTGCTGATGATCATCTGATCCGGCACAGCGCGGCAGTCTAGACGCGGATCTGTTGGCTGGGGAAGCCTTTGCCGACCGACCCCCTATGCCTCGTGAAATGAGGTTTACAGGATCAGTCAGCAAAGGCTTCCCCAGCCAACAGATCCGCGTCTAGACTGCCGCGCTGTGCCGGATCAGATGATCATCAGCACAGCGCAGTGGCCATGTTTATTTTAATGAAGCGGGGATTATTTAAATCCCCGCTTCATTGACTATGCCGGGTAAACTAGTTTACATGGCTCCATTGATGGAGCCATGTAGTCTAGACATACCCAAAGAGAAAATGCCTTGAAATATGACAGGAGATTCTTTGTCTCCCCACATCTCTCTGGGCTGCACTTCCAGGCTGAGCCTGCAGTGCAGCATTATGGGAGCATCCTTTCCTCTCCCCATTTTAAGCTTTGTATTTTAAATTCCCTGCTGCTGGCACTAGAGATCACAAAAGACTAGACTTAGTGTGCGGTGTGCTAGAGGTTTAGAATCAGGAGTATAATGGGGGCGAGCAGGCAACAAAGGGAGTTCTGACTCCCTAACACATGTGAAAGGTAGAGAACAGATGGGGAAAAACCAAGAGACTCGCCTTTTAACTCAATATCCATTGTAGGAGGTTTTAGAGGGAAGAGAGCAGTAGAAGGAGAAATGGTCACTATTTTACTATTTAAAAGGTAGAAGCCATCCTCCAAACAGGGGCACTCAGTACCCAGCAGGCCAGTGCCCCACAGTCTCAGTGAATCCCTCTGCAAAATCGAATAATTCCCAGAGTATCCACATGTTCTCACTCATCACGGCACCTGTTCACATGGTTTATATCTCCCATCACGCACATGCCTTGTGCAGTAACAGATCCCCTCACAACACTTGCACAATCACCCCATTATCTACCATAGCTCTCGTCACATTACCTGCCCCATCTCCCATCACACACCCCTATCTTTTGGCCAGGTTCCCCTCACAACCTCCTTATTCCTCTGATCACCCTCCCTGTCTCACACCAGAGCGTCCACACGTCCAGTCCTTCTCTGAGTGTCCGTACACAGATTTGTTTCCAAAGCCTGAGCCTGTGCCCCTTGGAGATGGCAGTAAAGGAAACGTTTGCCTCTTGTTGTAGATGAGGACTTAGCCCCTGAAAACTTCACCATCCAGACCGTCACTGAGAGAGAAGAAGAGATGCCTCCCTCACACAGTGTCACCGAGGAGGAAGCCCGAGGTAGCATTGCAACTCTAGAGCCAATCAACCTCACGGCCACTGCGTCAGAGCTGTATGAAGGCTTCACTGTGACTCCAGATCTCTTTGCCACTGGTATCACTGCCGAGACGGCTTTCACCGAGGCAGAGAACGTGACTGAAGAGGCAGTCACAGCTGTAGGGGTGACTCCTGAGGAGGTCACCACCTCGGTCTTGGAGACTCTTTTCACCAGTGAGGCCCTGGAGGCGAGCTCTGTGAAGGAGGTCATGGGGGTGACTGCCACACCGGAACTAGAGTCTGCCTCGATGGAAGAGGCGATTGTGCCAGTGACAGCCGCTCCTGAAAGTGGCCTTATTCCCAAGAAGCCCATTTCTCCCACTGGTAAGTCACAGGGACAACAAGAAACCTCACAATCCATTTCTTCCAGGGCCAGCCACACCACTGCTTCAGCTGACAAAATCTGACCTCTGTCCATCTAGCAATGAATCTGGCTCTACTGGGGAAGGTGTGTCTGGTCAGGCACTCCCAGCCTTTCTTCTGCTTCTAGCAGTTCATGGCAGGACTAGTTACCTGCCCACTGCCAGCAGCTCTCCTCTGCGTGGCACAGGAATGGGCAGGGGAGCCTTCTTGTTGTAGAATGACCCCCTCTGTCTGATAAACCAGATTCCTAAGGTCGGTGAGTTTCTGTCTACAACTGAAAGGGAGGTCATTGCATTGTAATGGTTGAGGAGGAGGAGATCCCCAGGGTAACCCCTCCCTTTATAGCCTCTTTAATAACAGCAGAAATCTGTTAACATGGGACTTTAATCCACGCGACTCCAGAAGGTCCAGCTCCTACCAGGATGGTTTTGAAGGCCCTTCCATTCAGGATGCATGGGGATCTCCATGTCTGTCCATCACAGCTCTCTCCTCTTTCCCAACAGGTGTCGTGTTTCATTACCGACCAGCCTCCGACAGGTATTCCCTCACCTTCACCAAAGCCCAGCAGGCCTGCCTGGATAACAATGCCGTCATTGCCACACCCGAACAGCTGCAGGCTGCCTACGAGGCTGGTTTTGATCAGTGTGATGCTGGCTGGTTGAGGGACCAGACTGTCAGGTAAGGACAGCTCAGGCCAGGTCGAGATTCCCATGAAAGAAATGTTCAGCCATGAAACTGAGTCACTTGGGTTACAGCAAATGTGCTGCATGGCCCCTCATGGATGCAGGATCCAGTGATAACACAGTCGCAGCGGCACCTGACATGGGTCAAACACATATCGGTCTGTGGCATAATGGGAACATGCTCCCTGCATTTTCCCATGTTGTGTGTCCACAACAGGTTTCCAAATCATACTAATGAAAAGCCCAATATAACATCCAGATATTACCATCAGGGCACCTCTAAATGCTAAGTAGGTACTCTGCCATTCAGCTGGGTTGTACTCTCCTGGGTGGCTACTCAAGCGCTTAGCTTACAGGTAATACTGCTTACCTCCCTTCCATATGAACACCCACCAGGTGCATCTAGACTGGCAAGATTTTGCGCAAAAACTTTCCAGCTGTCTACACTGGCCGCTTGAATTTGAGCAAGAGCACTGACATTCTAATGTAAGAATTCAGTGCTTCTTGTGCAAATACTTTGACGCTCCCACTCAGGGATAAGCCCTCTTGCGCAAGAATACTTGCGCAAGAGGGCCAGTGTAGACAGGCACCTTCATTTTTTGCGCAAGAAAGCCCAATGGCTAAAATGGCCATCGGAGCTTTCTTGCGCAAAAGCGCGTCTATACCGGGCACGGATGCTTTTATGCAAAAGCACTTTTTGCGCAAAAGCATCCGTGCCAATGTAGATGCTCTTTTGGGAAAATACTTTTAACGGAAAAGTTTTTCTGTTAAAAATATTTCCGCAAAATCATGCCAGTCTAGATGCAGCCACCGAGATTCTTCAATCACAGTGTATACAGCACCATCACCAGAGAGGCCCCTTTCTTTCTGTTTTGGCAGATACCCCATTGTGAACCCACGGAGTAAATGCATAGGAGACAAGGACAGCTCCCCAGGCGTTCGGACGTATGGAATGCGCCCAGCTTCTGAGATGTTCGACGTGTACTGCTACATAGACAAATTACAGGGTATGTTCTTCACATGCCTGTGAGAAAGTACTGTTTTTAGGGAGTGTGTGTTTGTCTGTGAGTGAGTGTGTGTGTGTGTGTAATGTACAGCAGAGGGGCAGAAATGTCCAGAGTTTCTATGTGTCAGTGACTCACACTTGACTTTTTCCCCTAGGCGAGGTGTTTTTTGCAACCCAGCCAGACGAGTTCACCTTCTTAGAAGCCCAGGAATACTGTGAGACCCAGAATGCCACCCTGGCCTCTGTTGGGCAACTTCATGCCGCCTGGAAGCTGGGCCTGGATAGATGCCATGCTGGCTGGCTTGCTGATGGCAGCATCCGATATCCCATTGTGACCCCACGTCCTGCTTGTGGGGGAGACAAACCTGGTGTGAGAACCATCTACTTGCACCCCAACCAGACAGGATTCCCTGATCCACTGTCAAGACACCAGGCATTCTGTTTCCGAGGTACTGACCCACTCTTCAGAGCCATGTACATAGCACACAATGCCGATAGCACAAGGAAATCTCTGCATTCTGTAGGGGAGGGATTTCATGAAGGAGATGATTACACAGGGGTTCCACTCTATGATGTTTACCAAAAGGAGTTGTTCCTCCCAAGGACACACAGGGATGGCATATTGCTTATACTTCTGCAGTCGTTTCATTCTCAAATCAGAAAATTTGAGATGGAAATGAGCTATGAAGTCTCCTCTGCCCCTATTTTCTCCAGTCTAATTTAGTCTATTTATCTCCTAGTATGAGAAATGTCATGTATTTAATTATAGAAAGCTCTATATTGCTCGTCACCATGGTATCAGGATGGTTTATGGAGCAGCAGCAGGCTTCTGAGAGAGCCAATGCAGTCTTAGAAATTGTCTTTAATACCTTTCGGTTCCAGCCCTACCATCTCTGCAAGAGGTTGAAGAGGTCACCCCATTCTTTGTTGAGGAGCACATTGTACCCCAGATGATCCCTGGATTGGAGGAAGTACCCTCTGGAGAGGAGACAACTGTGGAAACTGAATTTACCACTGAACCTGAAAATCAGACGGAGTGGGGAACGGAAGTCTTTCCAACTGACATTTCCTTGCTATCAGGTGGGTCTAAACACAGCAGGCTGGCGGAGGACCGGGGCAATCCAGAAATAAAAGTACTGTGTCCTTACTAAGACGAATCCCTGTCTGAATCCAGCTGAGAAGTAGTATGATGAAGGAGGAAGCTTTGAACTGCAGCACTCTCTTCAGGGGGAGTCCGTTCTCTAGCAGAGTAATCCAGATTTGCCTCTCATGCACCTTTAGCCAAGCCAATCTCTGAGGCCTGGAGCTCAAGGCATCTCTCCCTTGGATCACACTGAGTGAAATATGGCATTGTTCATAGACACTACATTATTCACATGCAGGCAACCCAGGGCAAATGGGGCTTTATGGGACTGTAGAAAGGGAATTCTGAGACAAGGAAGTGAGGGCTCTTTTACAGCAAATAAAACCAAGAACTCTCACCTGTATCAGCTCTGCTTGTGACAGGAATCTTTTTTTTAAACCTGTTAGCAAAATCCAGGTAATTCATTATGGCCCGGATTTTCAAAATTGCCCATACAGAAGATGTGCGTACAGATACCACAAAGCCAGATGCCAGTTTTGTACATGCTTTTTTCCACATGCAGTTCTGGAAAACTGAGCTCAAATTGTGCTTATTTTTTGAAACAATGATTCAGTGCACATCTTTTTACAATAAAAATAGTCAAAACCAAAGTATTGGACTTATCAGCCAACCCTACACTGATAAACCAGTGCTAATAGCCCAGCATTCATTAACTACCTTATACACATTGATGTGCATGTAAAGAGGGGAAAAAACAGCCAAGAAACATATTTCAGTTTCTGGCTTTCCAGTGTAGGGAGGGGGTACAGCTTTACTGGAAGCAACATTGAGACAAGAACAGCAGGACAGCTTTAGATTTTTTTTTCTGTGGAACAGCAGCAGCAGTTTCCATCCACTAATGGTAGCTGGGAATGCTGGCTTTGTTCTGCTGATTATCTTTTGGGAATTTATGTTGCAATTGTACTGTCACAGGAGGCAATAAATTGAACCACTTTTCCAGAATTACTGTATTTGAGATAAATCCTCATTAACAGAGTTTAGGGGAGAGAGAGCTATCTGGAATGTGTATAGGATCTTCAGAGTCTGTGAGTATTTTGGTATATGTCAATTTTTGTGCACAAACAGGAAATTTTCAAAAGCTTCTTGAAACTGATTTGTTAAATTCTTCTTCTCTGCTCTCTTGCTCTTCTCTCCTTTCTCCTCCCCCCTCCTCCCCCCTCCCCCCCGCTTCTTCTCCAGTGAGTCCATCAGCTTTCCCTCCTATTAGTGCAATACCAGAGGAGCCAAGTGCAGAGACTTCTCTCAGTGGAGTGCCTTCAGGAGAGATATCTGCATCTGGAGTACCTGAAACCAGTGGTGAACCATCAGCTTCTGGATGGATATCTGGAGAATCAGCTTCTGGAGCATTGGAACCTAGTGGAGAGCCTTCAGGGATCGAAGAAAGTGGATTGCCATCAGTAGACCTGGATTTCAGTGGACTTCCTTCTGGACTGCCATCAGGGGATGATAGTGGGATGCCCTCGGGTATTGAAGTCAGTGGGTTACCGTCTGGCGAGGAAGACGTGTCTGCTTCTGGAATCCCGGAACTTAGTGGGATAACATCTGGACTGCAAGAAACCAGTGGAATTCCAGAAACCAGTGGGCTGCCTTCTGGAGAAGTCTCTGGTGTTGATCTTCCTAGTGGCCTGCCATCCGGAGAGTATGATGAAAGCGGACTCCCATCTGGGTTTCCAACTGTCTCTCTTGTGGATACGACTTTGGTGGAAGTTGTCACAACAGTAGCAGGAAGGGAACTGGAAGGAAAAGGAACAATTGGGCTCAGTGGAGAAGGAGACCTATCGGGGTTACCATCTGCTGAATGGGACATTAGTGGGAAAATCAGTGGATTGCCCTCAGGATTTGATTTCAGTGGAGCACCCTCTGGGATACCTGGGATACCTGATATCAGCCACCATCTGGGTTACCTGATATCAGTGGAGCACCATCTGGGATACCTGATATCAGTGGAGCACCATCTGGGTTACCTGATATCAGTGGAGCACCATCTGCGATACCCGATTTAAGCGGCCTCATAGACCTAAGTGGCTTCGTTTCTGGTGTTGATATAAGTGGAGAGTCCTCAGGCATAACCTTTTTAAATGCCAGTTTGGTTGAAGTGACAACCCCATCTATTACGGAAGCAGAAGCAAAAAAGTTTTTGGAAATCAGTGGCTTGCCCTCTGGTGATGAAGATATATCAGGCACAGTGTCTGGAATTTTGGATGCTAGTGGTCATCCTTCTGGGCAAATAGACTTCAGTGGTGGGGTTTCTGGAGCTCCTGAAATGAGTGGACTGCCATCTGGAATTTATGATTATAGTGGACTCCCATCTGGCTTTCCCACTATCTCTCTTGTGGATACAACTTTAATGGAAGTTGTAACCCCGACATCTGTTGCACAAGAGGTAGGAGAAGGGCCATCTGGGATATTAGAAATCAGTGGACTTCCTTCAGGGGAAAGAGAAACATCTGGAGAAGTATCAGGAGTTATGGATATTAGTGGGTTGCCATCAGCAACAATAGACATCAGTGGAGAGCCATCAGGAGTCCCATATTTTAGTGGAGAGATTTCTGGAGTCACAGACTTAAGTGGAGAATCCTCAGCAGTGACTGGAGTCAGTGGGGAGGCCTCAGGACTTCCAGGAGTCACCTTGGTTACTTCTGAGTTGGTGGAAGTTGTGACAAAACCAACAGTTTCACAGGAGCTAGGTGGAGAAACAGCCATCACACTCCCCCATATTTTTGAGTCAAGTGGGGATGGCTCTGCATCTGGAGAAATTGGTAGAGAGACCTCAGCATTTCCTGAAATTACTGTAGAAATATCTGGAATTCCTGAAATTAGCATAGAAACATCTACAGCTCCTGAAACTAGTGGTGAAACATCTGGATTGCCTGTAATTACCATAGAAATTTCTACAGTTCACGAAACTAGTGGTGAAACATCTGCAATATCTGAAATTAGCATAGAAACTTCTACAGTACACGAAACCAGGGACAAAGAATCTGTATTGCCTGAAATTAGCTTAGAAACGTCAACAGTTTACAAAACTAGTGGTGAAACATCTATAATACCTGAAGTTAACACAGAAACATCTGACATAGCTGTGGTCAGTGGTGAATCTCCTGCGGTACCAGAAGAGAGAAGAGAAGATTCTTCAGGAACATCCACACCCACACTCCCATTTCCAGATGTTTCAGGGGAAACCTTTGTGCCAGATGTTGTAATTAATACCAGTATGCCAGACATTGAATTAACACAAGATCCCATGGGTCCTGAAGAGGCCCAGCTTGAAATACAGTTCTCTACCCCCATGGCATCAGAACAGGAGACAGAAGTAGCTGTTGTTCTAGAAACTCTAGAGATAGTACCTACTGCCACTGCTATCTTGCCTCAGGTTTCACCAGAAGCCACCGATGTGCCAGAACCCACTGCAAAAGGTATTCTTAAAAATATTTCTTGCTTTTCTAGCAAACCTTTTTCTATAGAAAGGGGGTGGAAAGTTCCCTTCTGTGTACAGCAGAAGGAACATAATGAAAAGGTATTTAAGCAGTATTTTATCTGAGTGGAAAGCTATAGAGAGGTAGGATTTGCCACACCAGATCACACCATTAAGCCCTCAAGCCTAGTAGACTACCTCTCAGAGTGGCTGACAAATGATGTAAAAAGGAGGAGGTAAATAGGATGAAGTTTAATAAGGACAAATGCAAAGTAATCCACTTAGGAAGGAACAATCCATTTCACACATACAGAATGAGAAGTAACTGTCTAGGAAGGAATACTGCAGAAAGAGATCTAGGGGTCATAGTGGACCACAAGCTAAATATGAGTCGACAGTGTAGCGCTGTTGCAAAAAATAGCAAACATGATTTTGGGATGCATTAACAGGAGTGTTGTGGGCAAGACACGAAAAGTCATTCTTCTGCTCTACTCTGCGCTGATCAGGCCTCAGTTGGAGTATTGTGTCCAATTCTGGACACCACATTTCAAGAAAGATGTGGAAAATTGGAGAGGATCCAGAGAAGAGCAACAAAAATGATTAACAGTCCAGAGAACATGACCTATGAAAGAAGACTGAAAGAATTGGGCTTGTTTAGTTTGGAAAGGAAAAGACTGAGAGGGGACATGATAGCGGTTTTCACGTATCTAAAAGGGTGTCACAAGAAGGAGGGAGAAAAATTATTCTCCTGGGTCTCTGAGGATGGGACAAGAAGCAATGGGCTTAAACTGCAGCAAGGGAGATTTAGGTTGGACATTAGGAAAAACTTCCTAACTCTCAGGGTGGTTAAACACAGGAATAAATTCCCTAGGGTGATTGTGGAATCTCCATCTCTGGAGATATTTCAGAGCAGGTTAGATAGACATCTACCAGGGATGGTCTAGATCAGTGTTTCTGAAAGTGTACCACAGAAACACTTTCAGAAACACATTAACTGGCCGCCCTGGTTTATTTATGTACCGGCACCGCAGCCACGGAGCCTTGCGGCTCCCATTGGCTCTGTTTCGTCCTTTGCAGCCAAGGGGAGCCGCAGGAAGCAGCCAGGGCTAGGCTCAGAAACATGGGTCTAGACGGTACTAGGTCCTCCCCTTCCAGTTCTAGTGTTCTATGATTCTATGGTTCTATGATGGAACAATCATAATGCACCAGGCCAGTTGTACAGTTCTGCAGATGGAGGGAATGTGAGGAATGACTCCTTTCCCATACCTGCAGCAATTTTGAGTTATGCCTGGAAACACAAAATATCCAACTGCTTTTATCTTCACAAGCACAACTGCTGTTGTTGGCCCTACAATTATCCAGCCCTCATCCATTCCCATTATTTGACTCTGACCTTCTGTGGCAGTGTAGCCAAAGTAAAGTACTCTTAAACCAAAGCTAACTTCAGAGTAACATGGCAAGTAGAGAGTGAACCAGCACAGAGATGTGAGTGGCTGGCATCTCTCCACATCGGGCAGCAACAGTAGTCATGCTGCATAACTGCAAAAGGCATTGGTATAATTTGGCTGATATTCCTTTCTCCTGTGAGTTACAGCTACACCCATTACATGTGATGAGAAGCCCTGTGGAGCTGGGACCTGCCAGGAAATAGATGGAAACATCACCTGCTTGTGCCCACCTGGGTACATGGGTGACCACTGTGCTATAGGTAAGTTCTGTCCTCTGCTTTGTTTGGGGATGTGCAGTAGGATAGTGGGGAGAGAGAATATATAGATAAAAAACCTAAAGTGAGTGCAGTTGTGGACATGTCCAGGAGCACAGCAGATCTGGAGGAAACCATGAAGAGTTCACTTCCCTTTCACTATCACTGTTAAATGCTGTTCCAGCCCAGAGAAAATAGGGATGCACTGTTCTTCTGAAGCCCTAGAAAAGGCATCTGCTCCTTCCATTCCTGATCAATAGGGAAATTTTATCCTGGCAACTCAGGGGTGAGAGGAAGAGGCAGAGAAGTACTGTAACATGGAATATTCACCATTGTTGGTCCTATTTCTTTAGCCTCCCACCCTTAGCTACACATATATGCCCTGAATTTAGAGCACTAGAATCTATATGTACTTATGGATGGAGGCCTTGTGTTTCATTCTGTTGCTGGGGTGCAGTAGGTTTGCTACCATGGACTCCCTGGCCTCTTCTGTGGCACTCAAGGTAAAAAACAAGCCAGTATGAAAATCAGAACTTTCTGCTCTCTGAGCTGGATGCAGTACATGCACATGCCAACCCATGTTCCTAGCCTTTGCATTGTCCACTGGCAACTGTTGGCAGGCAACCCCTCACCACCCATCGCTTAGCCTGGGTCCCCTTCTGTCACCAGAATTTGTCACTTCATTGCCTATGGCAGCTAGGACTTGCCATATCCAAAAAGGATCTTTTGGTGGACCTTCATCCCCATCTAAGGTGCAAGTGACTTGGCATCAGTTTGTCAGGCCCAGTTATGCATTGGGAATGAAATAAAATCTATTTCTTCAAAGCTTTCAAGGAAGAGAAGTGAACTGCAGTTCTGCCTGATGTCCTGTGTCTTGTGCCTCTGTTTGTGGGGACTGGCTCCAAAGGGTACTATGCATGAGATGGGGTCTAATTCAGATTAACTCTTACTTTTTATTAGCTCTTTTGGCATATGTCTGTTTCACTCCTCTCTTTCAATCTGTGCATTGGTGGGCTTATTCACTGGTGTACGTATACATTGTTCTGGAACTTACAAACAGCTCAATATTATTCATACAGTGAAGGCATGTCTACACTAGGAAACTATTCTGAAATAACTAAAATTGATTTAATAACTCCCAAAGTAACAAAATCAAAATAGCCCAAACTTAATCCGAGGCAGGTTCCATTATTGTGATCACGCTACCTTGACTTAGAACCCCAGGAAGCACTGGGGAGCAATTATTCAAATTACTCTGGGGAGTCTTAAACCCTTGTACTCTGAGTAGAGCATAGGTCATCTACAAGTCTCCTCCACTTCACTCTGTCTCAAGACAAAACTTCCTGGAGTACCCCAGTTGTTGTCCTTCAATCTCAGTAGATCTTCTCCACGTTGTCCAAAGTCTTCCTCTTTTGCGTTTTCCTTGCAGGTTCCATTTGAGAGCTTAACAGACTATGCTGGATGATGGTTTTCTGAGAGTGTGGCCTAGCTATCCCCACTTTCTTCTCTTGATTTGAATGTCAAGTGGTTCTTGTCCTGCTCTGTTCCAAAGAGTAGTTATTTCAAAATAACAGCACTGGATTATCCACACTATTTTGAAATAACAATTTCGAAATAAGCTTTTTTCCCTGAGGAAAGCAGGAGTACAGATTTCAAAATAATCAGCCTATTATTTCAAAATAACAGGCTTGGTAGTGTGGAAGCTCCACTTGTTATTTCTAAATAAGGGGGGTAATTTTCAAATAACTCCCTAGTGTAGACCAGCTCTGAGTGTGTAAGCTGCCTAACCTAATGTACTGGAAGATTACTGAAGAAAAAGTCATTCCTTAGCAATTAATTGGGAATTTTCTTCCACAGCAATCACCTATCTGGCTATTGCTGTCTGCCAGGGTGAGGAGAACTATGTGAAGGATAAGATAGAATTCCTTGGCACGTCCCATTTCTGGATAGCAAAACAGAATGTACCCTAGGCTAGACCAAGTCAAGGTTGCAATATGGAAGGATGGACATGCCTTCTGTATAAAATAAGGGTCTCTTTAAGTAATTGTGCCTCACAGTTGTAAATGTGCAGGTTTCTTAATCTGGAGTTGGCACTGTATTCACCCTTTACATTTTAATTCAGCAAGGCTGTGTCTAGACTGGCAAGTTTTTCTGCAAAATCAGCCGCTTTTCCGGAAAAGCTTGCCAGCTGTCTACACTGGCCGCTTGAATTTCCGCAAGAACACTGACTTCTTATTGTCTGAAATCAGTGCTTCTTGTGGAAATACTATGCTGCTCCCATTCAGGCAAAAGTCCCTTTTGCGCAAAGGCTTTCCGCAAAAGGGCCAGTGTAGACAGCTCAGATTTGTTTTGCGCAAAAAAGCCCCAATCACGAAAATGTCGATTGGGACTTTTTTGCGGAAAAGCGTGTTTAGATTGGCACAGACGTTTTTCCGCAAAAAGTGCTTTTGCGGAAAAGCGTCCGTGCCAATCTAGACGCTCTTTTCCGCAAATGCTTTTAACGGAAAAACTTTTCCATTAAAAGCATTTGCGGAAAATCATGCCAGTCTAGACGTAGCCTATATATCAAACGAGAGTACAATCCATGGATGCAACCAGACTTACTCAGTCATTTCTGGTTAAAAAAAATTATCAGCAGCCCCCCCAGAACTATTTTCTCACTTTAACTCAATTATACCACTAGTGCAAACTGCTTTGGAGTTAGGCAGGTGCTTTTAGAAGCATTGGAGATGAGAGATGGGTTCTGATTCTGTACCTGCCACTGAATCGCTGCACTCTCTGTGCTTCACTTTTCTCATCTATAAAATAGAAATAGTATTAATTACCCATCTCTGAGGTAGGTTGTGAGGCTTAATTAATTTCTGTTCATAAAACACTTCTTAGGTGAAAGGTGCTATGGTAATACAAAGTATTATTTTGTCTCTGAGATCTGAATTGACCATCAAGCTTGTTATATATCTGACATTTCAGTGCCCTCTTGCTCTCTCCCCACTGCCTTCTCTTTTTGACTTACTAATAAAATGTTTACTTTGTCCGGTGGTTTCTTGATGGTGTATCCCATGCATGTGATCATCTCTGCAAATCTTGCCCACACCTGTGGCGGATTATGAAACTGCAGTCTCTTCTTGTTTGCAAGGTTACCAACACAACTCCAGGCGTAGATCATGTATGAAGAAAGAAACCCTGAAATCACAACCTTGTCGGTTCTTAATACATGATGATGGAGAATAGGTGACAGGAGCCAGCATCTATTTTCTTTAAGTTGTAGTATTGTGGAGGCTACATGCCTCACTACAGTCTGCATCTCATTTGAGGTGTTGTCTCTTTCCTTTGCTCCAGAATCAGTGAAATCAAAGGATTCCAATATCCGACATACTATTCTGACCTGAATTCCCCACCAGTG